TACCTACTCGACTGCAAAGGAAGTGGGTGAAGATAAGCTCCCGTATGGAGGATGAGGGTATCGAGCCAAGGTTTGATGATATCCTGAAACTGGTAAATACTAGTGTCAATCAATCTATGAGCAAGTTCGCCAGTCTATTAGATCTCCCCCCTAGAATAGAGCAGTCTGAGATCAAAATGCAATCATTGATGACGAGTAGGCCTCAGAGAGGTGGATATCGAGAAGACTCCATGATGTATAGTAATGCATATAGACCTAGTGAGTGTAACAGGTTTCGTAGTACATCCTCAACAGATAAGTTACAAGATGCAAGACAAACACGGTTGTGTTTACACGTTTGCAAGAGGTGCATACAGAAGTGAACTGTGAACCAGTGAGCAAGTTCAGTGATAAGCTAAATGTAAACTCCAGGTCTGACTCCGAATTGTGTGACGATAACGGTGTTGTGAAGAAGTCTGTAGTTGCAACTGGTAAGCCATTGTTGAATAGAGCGTCACAGAATAGAGTTACTGCTTCAGGGTGCAGTTCTGACTCCAAAAGTTTACAAGGTATAACTAGTCAGAGTGAAGATATAAAACCTTTAATGATTTGTGAGGAGGAACCAAAATTGTCTACTTCTGTTATTAAAGAGTTTGAAAATGATGAACTTGACGGTAAATTGAATATTTGTGGTAATGATCATGATAGTGCAAATTTGTCTTTGGTTGATCATGATGAGAGGAAGGATATGCCTACTACTGCTAAGTTAAATAAAGGTTCTGTACAACTACAACGTGAAGTAGAATTGAACGCAGATGCAGTTCCAGAAGGTGTGCATACTTGTGAGACAGTCAGTGTAATTGATCAGCGTGTAGCCCACCTATCATCAGATGATAGTGCTAAACCCGAACTAGTAGTGAAAGACAGCAGTGGTGGTAATCTTGCAGTTGGACAACTATCTGAAAGCCGAAAAAGAACAGCTTCTGATCCACCGCTAAGTTCATCACCTTGTGTCACTCAGTCATCGTTGGTGTTTTCATCCACAATGAAACAGATGCCCATCAACTCAAGTATCTTTTGCAATGACTATGATAGTATTGGTGCGTTTGAAAAGACGAAAGATATTGCTCAGTTTAGTGAGAATAAGCCAAGTGTAAAGGAGAGAGTAATTGTTAAATTGACTTGCATGAATAAAGGCATTTCTAGTTTCAAGTTACTAATTGAATGCTATTATCTTTGGTGTAAATTACTCTGTTTCTACACTTGGTTGATGAGATATGCCGTGTGTTTGTTCGTCATCTATATTCTACGATACAATGACATGGGCGTGTTGCCGTTCAGATTTGAGGATTTAGCTCATAGAAGGAAGTCAGCAAATGAACTCTGCGACGATTTTCCAACCTAGGGCGTCAACCTGAGAAGGGTTGTAGGCGTACTGCTGTAAGTCCTACAGTTCTTCAAAGGGTAGCGCATCAATGAGCAGTCCAATATGCTTGGTGTATGATCTTGTACATATGTTCATATTGTATATACTGAATTGATATCATCTGTCATCTAGCTGTTGGTAATTCTGTTTGTGTCCGGACATTCCACAACTTACAATGGTCAACCTGTGAAGGGTTGTAGGCGTACTGGTGTAAGTCCTGCAATTCTTCAAAGAAATTCCACCAGGACAGGATGGGCGAGGTTGTTTGTACTATTTGTATATACGTGTGGTGTGTCATATAAATTGGTGTTTTTTAGATTCATTGTGTTTACTTGTTGTTTTTGTATCTTGTTGTTATTGCGTAATTTTGTTAAAATTTTCGTCGTGATTACTTCTGAAGTTGTTTCCAGTCTTCTACATCCATGAATGAATTGGTTGATGTTAAGGACAGCAGATGGGTCGTATACGCCGGGGAGGCTAGGCTATTGCTGAGAATGAAATGCATACGGAGATAATTGTTAGCTGCGGTCCCACACGCCGGGGAGAAAGAGTGTAAACGACTGAGGCTCGCATACGTCACCGTTACTAGAACTGAGGCAGAATGAGTGACCAGCGATTTCAGTGGTAATTGGTAGTGAGTAGATAAGAGGATGTGCGTGGAGCGTCATGAGTTGGTGCTATGGTCACGTTGCATTCTGCAAGAGTCATTCTAGTAAGTGGCGATTGTGTTGCAAGATGTCAAGAGGAGGTCTCTGTCTGGAGGCGCAGGTCGTCATTGATGTGTGAGATTGTGCTGTGGGTATGCTTGTGGTGTGTTGGCTTTTCTGTTTGTTTTCCATTTCAGCTCTGTCCGTGTGACCCAGGTTCTCGCAATGTCATCCAAGTCAACGTGCATTGGTCGTGAAGGAAAAAAGGCTTGGATCCCTTTTTGCCGGGGAGTGTCAATGGAGTTGAAGATTGAACGATCAATTCTTGGTTGTTTGCTTAAAACCAACTTCCCCAATTTTCGCGGAGGCATCAATACGACAGTCATCGTCTCATCGGTCGCTGTTCAGAAAGAAGAGTGAAACATCGTCAGAAGTAATCTTATGATTTATTATTGTAATATTTGTTTTCAGACCTTAGTTCACTTGTTCTTTTTATATGTTGGTGTAACAATAAAGAAATATCCAGCGGCAGATCGGTGTTTCGGTTTTTTCGTCCGTTATAACTAAGCGTTTCTGAAATCTTCGAGGAACAGCGTGGGCCCGAGCCTAGCGAGAGCTGGGCATTAACGGTTTATGAGACGTGATTGACAACGACGTCAACGAGTCCTTTGTTGTCCCTTGATTTCACCTAGCCTTCTCTTGCAGTGAGATTTGACGAGCATGAGAGGTTTCCCTTGTAGCCATGTTGTACTTTCATTTTACAGATACGCCATGATACTTTTCTTAACGATTCTTTCAGTGTCTTGATTAACGTGCTGGTGAGACTAATTGGCCTGGAGTTTGAAGGGCTTTGTCTTGATCCTCCTTTGTGAATGGGAGTCACTGCGATGTCTTTCTAGTTACTGTGTGACATGGCTCGAAGATATTGTACTGGCTATATGGGCCGATAGCTATTTGGGAAAACTTGGATGAAGATTACGAGTACCGGTTGATTTACCTGCATCTAGTTTCACCGGGCAGTTGAGCACGACATCTTGGTAGACGTCAACGGAATCTATACCATGTTCCCATGATGCGGCCAAAGCTGGTCTCATAGGGGGTGACGCCTCCAGTGTGAAGACATGGGAAAAGCAGTCTGCGATCCCCTCAGCTTTTGCTTGTCCTTATTCGATTATGTCATCGTCAATAGTCAGGTTTGGGATACTCTTGGATATTTTATTCCCAAAGGTCATGTACGAGAATATTTTCTTGGTTTGTGCCTTTGCGTTATGAGCCAGATGTTCTCTAGATTTCATCCCTGACCGGCGGATTTCTGCAACAGCTTTGTTCCCAGCGGTGTTGTATCATTTTACGGTCTCAGGAGTCTCAAGTGGGGTAAACAGGTTCCAACATTATTTTCATTCCTTCACTTTCCCGGTGGAACATAGGGCCTCAAACTGGTGGCTTGAAGTTTCTGTAGCAGTGTTTATTTTACAGGATGAGGTAGTTTGTCTCATGCCCAACCTTTCAACTTTACCAGCATTATTTCTGGCTTAGCGAGGTAAAGGAGTGCGTCCATTGGTCGAGGATCAAACCCCGGACCATGTGCATGGTTGGCGAGCGTCTTAACCACTGTGTCACCGACGCACTAAACATTATCAGGGTGAGGCGCATGCATATAGCACACATCCTTCTTCAAAACATGCGCACAACCATTAGGCTGCGTACCGACCAATTGATGTAAGGTTCAGTTACTTGAACGCAAAGATGTTTAAACTGATTCCATGAGGATTCTACTTGGGACTCTGAGTTTATGTACCAGTTCACTGAGTTGGTTGCTGAAATGATTGCATATGTACCAGCTTTCGAAAGGTTTGGTCAAGCTGGGGTTTTTGCCCATGATGCTGCTGTTGTGAATTTGAAAGTGGGCACATTGTGATCACTTCTTCCTGAAGAAGGAAGGTGTTGTGTGAGATCCATATTATCACCATGGGAGAACCCTAGGTCCGAAGTTGAAGAGTGCTGTGGGTCATAGGGCGTGGGCTTCACGACATGTTAGACTGGGGCTAGCGAAAGGCAAGATTCCAGAAGTTTATGATCAAAAGATTTGTCTCAAGATGGCGTTGTAAGGCTTGTTCAGTCAACTGTTTTGGCACTGAAGTCGCCGATTACGAGGATTTGACATTTCGATGTCTAGGAACTTAGCTTCTCGTTTGCACTGCTGTCAGGACTGCGGTATACGGCAATGAGGTCAATATCTTGACCTATGCATTTAAGTCTGCAGTGACATCGGGTGTGAGCCACGCCTCTGTGATGATAACCGCATCCGGAGTTCCGGAGACCCACCTGAGTCCGTCTGTTCAGCAGGCTACGGGTTTTTGTGTAGCAAACAGTCAATTCAATCTGGGAGTCCGTGGCCTACCCACAGAGGTTTCGGGATGATCAAACTTCGAACTCTGACAACCAGAAAAACCTTAATCTCAAGGTCTATTTTCGCTGATTCGGCATCGTTCGCCTAATTCCAGAGCTACAGACTGTCTTTTGACGCGGTCTGGTTGGCATAGGCCAGCAAGGACGTTTATGCCTGATCATTTAGGAGCTCAAGAGTTGCTTAGAATGGCGTCCCTCCCTTCTCTGGATTTTAGTACGACTTTGAGAAGGCGTACCCCCCAGGGGGAATACATATTTCTAAGGCGCATTGATTTTCACTAGCTACCAAATACTGATAATGACACCTAGAAGAAGCAGTGTCATTAATCTCAAGTGACTCACGCAAGGAGGGTGTGGGAAAGCATAAAAATTCATATAAAAGCCTTCTATCTCAAATCAACAATTTTGAAGTCTAAATCCTAATTTGTACAATCCTTCATTTCCTTTTTTCTGCATCCAAATCATCCCAAATGCGACTATCTTTATTATGTTCGTTATAATTCTCTTTATCTGACTTTGTTAAATGCTAATGCTACAAAGCGGAGAACTGGAGTATTCATCCATCCATTGTACACTTTAAGAGCGGGCTTACAATTAACACGTGTTCCACCCGTGTCGGAATTACTTCAGGTTGCTTCGATTACTCAGGTTAGGTTGGCTGTTTTACCGTCAGGTCTTTGATTAATACGATTTCCGGATTTTGAATAAATAAATCGTATCAGCACTCAGGATCCAATCGCTGGATTTTCCAAAATGTTCTGGGATTTACCTACTTGAATTAACGAAGGTGAAGAAAAATGGCTCAATCACATCTATACTATACTTCACTCCTGAAATAAGAGTGCCATACTTATTGTGCATGTCGACTAGGACCGCTGAAAAAATTCATCGGTTAGGTTTTTGCTCAAGAATACAGTGATCCTAAATCAAATCTTGATAGAGGAAGAAAGACCAGATTTGCAGTATAAAATGATATCATTCTATTTCACAGGGTCTCGTCAGCTGCAAACCCCATGAAATTACAATGGTTATAAATAATAACATTTCATACTTCATTGTTTGGAAGGTAATAGAGAAGACATTATAGGGTGAACGCATCTGGAATATAAGTATTATAATCTAAGTCACCAATTTATATACTGTCAAACTATGAAAAAAGAAAAAAGGGGGTGAGAGAAGACAGAAAAATCTAATAAACAGTGTTTGATTGCAACCGCTTCAGCAAATCGTAGTAGATTTGCTGTCCTTTGTATGTTTAATATTTTGAAGGATTTGGAAATCTCGACAAAATGACCCGTATATCAACAGGGTGGGTGTCTGATAATTGCACTTTGTAAATATCTGCACCCCTTTAGGCATAAGTTTCTTGGAATATGCTCTGAAAACCGGATAGAAGCCCTGCTGTCCTTCCAATGTACTTGCTGCCGCAGGTACACGTAAATTTATAAATGCAGTCAGAGGTAACATCAGCAGGGTACTTATCCAGTTTCGATCGCCTTGTAGAGCATGTAGTACTGTATAGTGTCACCAGATTGGCTGCAGGGAAGCATCTCTTTATTGCTCCCTTCATCTTCTTTTCAATCTTTTGCGATACTGTTTCTCCTTTGTATGGGAGGCAAATGAACACTTTCTTCTTCTCAACTGTTGGGGACTTCTCTTTCTCATCTCTTTCTTTGCTGTACTTTAGGATAAATGCTTTTGGATACCCGTTTTCCTTAAGGCATTTTTCAACAAAGCTTAATTCTTCTTCTGCCTTGTTAGGCGAACATAACTTCCTGGCCCTGTCGTACAGTGTCCTTACTAATCCCTGCTTATAGCTCATAGGGCAGAAGCTGTTGTAATGAAGGTATTGTCCGGTCCAAGTTTCTTTCCTGTAGATGGAATTTTCGACCGTTCCAACGTTTCTTCTTTTTACATTTAGGTCCCGGAAATTGAACTCATCGTTGTGTTCGTATCCCATGGTGAATTTAATGTTTGGGTGGACCTTATTTAGGCGGTCAAATAATACGGATGTCTGACTCATGTCGTTACAAACAACAAAAGTATCATCGACGTATCAACGGTGGTATGTTGTTTCATTGATAGCGTCACTCAGTCGCATCTGTTCGAGATAGCCCATGAAGATGTCTGCTAGAATGGGTCCTAGTGGTGAACCCATGGCAACCCCGTCAATTTGTCGGTATAATTGGTTATCGAATCTAAATTGGATGTCTTTTGTGCAAAGAATTAGTAGCCGTTTCATCTCTGACTCCGGTAATGGCAATAGATCTCTTTGTTTACAAATGATATTTATTGTTTCCATCACGGGTACATTTGTTAATAAGGCAGTCACGTCGTATGACACCATCAGTTTATCTGATATGTCAATGTGATCGACTTCTTTGGAAAATTGGAAGGTGTCATCCAAGCTATGATTTGAAAATTTTTGTCAAATTGGCTTCAATGAATCAGATAGCCGTCATCCTAGTTTGTGACACGGCGAGTTTACCATTGATAATATGGGCCTTAAGGGCACATTGGTCTTATGGATTTTTGGTAGACCATATATAAATGGGAGTCGTCCACCCTTTCATTTGAGTTTATTGTACGTTTTGATGTTTCTTGATGAGTAGTTCTTTCAGGCATTTATTTAATTCATTTTCGAATGACGTAAATGCTTGAAAAGAGTACTCATCAAGAAACTGATTGACAACAAAACGTACAATAAACTCAAATGAAAGGGTGGACGACTCCCATTTATATATGGTCTACCAAAAATCCATAAGACCAATGTGCCCTTAAGGCCCATATTATCAATGATAAACTCGCCGTGTCACAAACTAGGACGATGGCTATCTGATTCATTAAAGCCAATTTGACAAAAATTTTCAAATCATAGCTTGGATGACACCTTCCAATTTTCCAAAGAAGTCGATCACATTGACATATCAGATAAACTGATGGTGTCATACGACGTGACTGCCTTATTAACAAATGTACCCGTGATGGAAACAATAAATATCATTTGTAAACAAAGAGATCTATTGCCATTACCGGAGTCAGAGATGAAACGGCTACTAATTCTTTGCACAAAAGACATCCAATTTAGATTCGATAACCAATTATACCGACAAATTGACGGGGTTGCCATGGGTTCACCACTAGGACCCATTCTAGCAGACATCTTCATGGGCTATCTCGAACAGATGCGACTGAGTGACGCTATCAATGAAACAACATACCACCGTTGATACGTCGATGATACTTTTGTTGTTTGTAACGACATGAGTCAGACATCCGTATTATTTGACCGCCTAAATAAGGTCCACCCAAACATTAAATTCACCATGGGATACGAACACAACGATGAGTTCAATTTCCGGGACCTAAATGTAAAAAGAAGAAACGATGGAACGGTCGAAAATTCCATCTACAGGAAAGAAACTTGGACCGGACAATACCTTCATTACAACAGCTTCTGCCCTATGAGCTATAAGCAGGGATTAGTAAGGACACTGTACGACAGGGCCAGGAAGTTATGTTCGCCTAACAAGGCAGAAGAAGAATTAAGCTTTGTTGAAAAATGCCTTAAGGAAAACGGGTATCCAAAAGCATTTATCCTAAAGTACAGCAAAGAAAGAGATGAGAAAGAGAAGTCCCCAACAGTTGAGAAGAAGAAAGTGTTCATTTGCCTCCCATACAAAGGAGAAACAGTATCGCAAAAGATTGAAAAGAAGATGAAGGGAGCAATAAAGAGATGCTTCCCTGCAGCCAATCTGGTGACACTATACAGTACTACATGCTCTACAAGGCGATCGAAACTGGATAAGTACCCTGCTGATGTTACCTCTGACTGCATTTATAAATTTACGTGTACCTGCGGCAGCAAGTACATTGGAAGGACAGCAGGGCTTCTATCCGGTTTTCAGAGCATATTCCAAGAAACTTATGCCTAAAGGGGTGCAGATATTTACAAAGTGCAATTATCAGACACCCACCTGTTGATATACGGGTCATTTTGTCGAGATTTCCAAATCCTTCAAAATATTAAACATACAAAGGACAGCAAATCTACTACGATTTGCTGAAGCGGTTGCAATCAAACACTGTTTATTAGATTTTTCTGTCTTCTCTCACCCCCTTTTTCCTTTTTTCATAGTTTGACAGTATATAAATTGATGGTGACTTAGATTATAATACTTATATTCCAGATGCGTTCACCCTATAATGTCTTCTCTATTACCTTCCAAACAATGAAGTATGAAATGTTATTATTTATAACCATTGTAATTTCATGGGGTTTGCAGCTGACGAGACCCTGTGAAATAGAATGATATCATTTTATACTGCAAATCTGGTCTTTCTTCCTCTATCAAATGCATAAATCAAATCTGAATATCTGAACCTAGTCTGACTTCCCGTAGTAAGTGGATTCCAAAAATGACCAAAGTTGTTTTGTTTCTCACATCAGAGAAGCTACGGTGGTGTACTGGTTTTCAGTATGGCTGGCACTGACTCACCACCCTATTATTTTCTCGACATTTTCAGAAGTGGCTCACAAACTACTGGCTTGTTAATAAGTTTAAGCTGTTGAATTTTGATAAAGGAAATGTAATAAAGTGAAAATACAGCAGTATTAGTGTAATACGTATCGGGTTGATGGGCGAAACATGACAGCATATATATATATATATATATATATATATATATATATATATATATATATATATATATATATATATATACGTTATGCTCATCAACCTGATACGTATCAAAGTAATTCTGTTTTATTTGTATTTCATTTCATTTTTCAGAATTCAACCGCAGTGAAATTCCTTGTCGTTCGTTTGGTGACAGACAACAGCATAGTCACTATCCCAGACACGGGTAATGCGAAGTGGTTTTTGCACATACAAGAGTAGTGCAAACGATTTAGTTTCTGTGTTTCCTCGAAGATGGATGGTCTTTATTCGAATTCCGTCAGCTTCGGGAATACAGCACTTGGGAATGCTTCTATTTTATCACCTTTCTAGATAGTGGAAGACATGAAAAGACTAGCTGTCTTTGATCATAGGTGCCTGCGTTCTATTTCCCGTGTAAAGTGGCATAATAAGGTGAGCAACATGGAGGTTAGGCGTAGAGTTCTAGGTAAACAGGGGAAATCAATCGACGAAGTCGTGAAGCTACAAAGACTGAGATGGTTAGGACATGTGTTACGTATGCCAAGCCATCGCCTCCCTCGACGAGCTATGTTAGCGGATATAGGGTCAGGCTGGAAAAGAGCTAGCGGCGGTCAAACAAAGCCTTGGCCTCACCAGTCAATGAAATCTACAACAGTTGGTCTAAGCCATATAGGAAGGTGTAGACTTCCAGGCTGGGGTCCTCGGGACGGTAAAAATCAATGGTTGGAAACAATTGGTGACATGGCTCAAACTCATCGTTCTCAGTGGCTAGCGCAGATGCATCCACTCCTTGTGACTTATGATCTCCAATGAAACTGTTTTGTTCTTCGTTAATACTCCTCTTTTGTCTCACACCTCTCCTCACGGTCTGTATTATGCTTTTCTTGTACTTTCTTCTCTTGCTTCGCGTGCTACACGGAGTGTGGCGACTTGAACTGCTGTATATATATGCAAAGTTCTATGTCGAAAACAGACAGACAGGTAGTTTTGATAGTTGTCAAAAGTCTATAGAGCTTTCGAAAAGCTGTGGTCATAACAGTCATCCTGATAAAATCAATACTCACTCTTAATTTGTGTGAGAAATAAAACAAGTTTGGTAATTTTTCGGAATTCACTCACTATGGGAAGTCAGAGTTGGTTCAGATATTGTGAGATTTTTTTTCTTTTCAGCAATAATGTGGACTCTAATAAGATGTGGAGTTGGTTTCAGTTATATACACGGTAGCATTCACTATGTAGTTAACACTTTGATGTGGTTTTGTCTCTACATACAATGTGCTCGTAATGGTATCGAATTCAAATGTTTAATATCGCATACGAGTTGCTTTTGCCTAACGTAGTAACCAGTTAATTCTCGTCTGTAAATCTGAATACAGCCTCCATTGTCATATAATGCTTCTCTGTTGGTTTAGTACTAACATACATTTCGTTGTACATTGTCTCCAATTGTTTCATATAGTGTATGCTCTTCATTTTGTGAATTATATCATATTCCTTCCTCTTACAATTTACTGTATAATTCAAGCTCAGAAACATCCATTTCACAATGTGGACGAGATAAATTGCTTTAGAAGGCTGTTTTGGATGCCTATCACCGTTCTGTCTTATATATGCATATATATATATATATATATATATATATGTATTATGTAATACAGTAGACGTTTTTCGAACTTCCTTGTATAGACACATGGTCGGTTTGACTAGATTCTGGATTACAATGTCTGATCGACTTTGAAAAAGTTAGAGTAAAATGCATTGTTAAACAGGAAACCTTTTGATTGGATGTTTCATTTTGTTTGACTGCACAATAAGTCGTAGCTGCCAAAAGTAGAGTTTATATGTCTACATGTACTGAAATACTTTTTAAAAATCGTGTTATGCCTCCGTCTAGTCGAGAAAATTTACTATTTAGTTAATCCCTTTACGTTCCCAGTGAAACATAGGGGGGGGGGCTTCAAGCTAGAGGCTTGAAGATTTTTTGAAGCACTGGTGATTATTTTTACAGGATGGGGTTGCTAGCCTAATACCCAGCCTTTCCTCTTTACCATCTGGCTTGGCGAGGTAGAAGAGTGTGGCGTCGGTGGCCGGGAATCGAACCTTGGACCATGTGCATGGTCGGCGAGCGTCCTAACCGCTGTGCCACTGTGGTGAGAGCTGGCTACTAGCCAAAATTGGTAGACAGTGTTTTACGTCAATGTTTACTTAATATTGGTTGTGAGAAAATATGAACAAAGACTGATTTTGCGTAGGCGGATACAGTTAGCATATAGATGATCTAACATTCAAGAAACAGCCACAAAGAGATGCAAGGTTAACTTTCTGTGAGAAACAACCAGTCAGAAGACTGTGTTTTCTGCTAACAATAATCCATTATGTGTACATGAAAATCTATAAATATGTGTGCTGTGCGTCGGTGGCACAGTGGTTAGGACTCTCGCCGACCATGCACATGGTCCGAGGTTCGAGCCCTCGCCGACGCACACCTGATATCTATGGTCGGCCTGCAAAATTTGGGCTACCGATATCCACGCTGAAAATTCCATACTTGTACCAAAAATACAGTGTGGAATCAAGCTGTAATCAAAAATAAAATAAAAAAATAAAAAATAAAAAAAAATTAATAAACGGTCTGTTGTCTGATCCTTGTCTTCTGTTGTTACACCACCAACACACACACAAATCGGGAAAATATTGCTTTTGCTAAAGCTTCGTAACTCATCTGATATAGCTGGATGTATCATATTTTAGGCATTCAGTAGTTAAGAACGTGTATTGTAAGTTGTATTGAGTTTTGTCTGCTATCCTCCTTTTTTTTGCTGAAAATATATTGTTGCTGTTTTAAATTTCAGACCATATGGTGATCTAAAACAATATTTATAAAATTTCAATCATTCCTTGTTTGAGCTGAATTTCAAGTCCCTTGTCATTTTACCCTATCAATCGGACTTTCAATGGATAAACTGGCAGATACGGTAAAAACCTTTCTGTTCATTATATATATATATATATATATATATATATATATATATATATATGTTATCTTCAATGATCCTAGTACAGGGATTGACTTTTTGTACTATTTAGAATTATATTATTTGAGGGCATTAATATAGACTTTGTATTTATAGTCATTATACATCCAACTGGTAATACGCGATTTTGAGACATACAGTGACTTCTCTCATATGCGTCGACAATCCTCAACTCTGTCAAAGTAATGAGTTCCTAGTTTGCCCTACATTAGATAAGTTTTAAAGCAATATTCCTATGAATACTAAAGGCTTAAATTTAGCACATATTTTTTGTGAAGATAATGGGAGTGTTCGCGTTGAGTATTCCGACTTGAATCATCTCTATGCATGCTAGTTCTTTTATCACATTGAGTCTTCATTCCATATTTCGAAGATTTTTTCCTCTGTCCAACAGTCATCGACAGGTAAAGTCTAGCTGTTGAGTGTCATGTGAATATGCAGATAATATAGTCCTCCTTGGTGAAGATGCCGGCAAAATGCACAGTCTTCGGGACACCTTGAGCAACAATCTTCAAATGTTTGGCATGCGATTTGCTCCTGCTGTCAAATATAAGATGATGAAGCTATAGGATTGAACGACGTTGGCTCCTAGCTTCTAAATATAGTGAAGTGGTACAACACGTTCACCGCCTCACTTATTTGAGAAGTTGCGTCAGCCAACGCCAGCGGGTTAATCGCTGACGAGATCTCAGCACACACACAGAGAGAGAGAGTAGTCTCGTTTGGCATATGACAGTTTACGCCGTCCCAGGCGTCCACATGATATTCGCTTTGTCCTCATCTATGGCTAGCCGTGAGTGATGACCACTGAAAGTGGAAGACATGAAAAGGCTAGCTATCTGTCTTTGATCATAGGTGCCTGTGTTCTATCTCTCATGTGGAGAGGTATAAGAGACTGAGCAATATTAAGGTTAGGCGTCGAGTTCTAGGTAGGTGTGAGGGGAAATCAATCGATGAGGCTATAAAGCTACATCGACTGAGATGGTTAGGACATGTGTTACGTAAACATGCCTTCCTCAACGGGCAATGTTAGCTGACATAGCGTCAGGTTGGAAAAGAGCTAGGGGTGGGGTGGTCAAACTAAAACATGATTTCATCAGTCAGTGAAATCCATAACAGTTTAAGCTAGCCACTTACGGATATATAGATTTCCTGATTGGTTGTGGTCCTCGATACAGTAAACACCAATGGCTGGATACAATCGGTAAAATGGCTCACAATCGTTCTCAATGGCTGTCACAGATGCATCCACGCCTTGTGACTTATAGAATTCAATAAAACTATGTGGTTCTTCGATGTTACTATTCTTTTTGCATCATATATCTGTTTTGCATTTCTTGTTTTACTTCTGTTGCTTTGTGTGCTACATGAAGAGATTGTGGCAACCTGAAATGCTGCACTTTGGTGCAAAGTTCTACATTGAAACCAGTCCGTCAGTAACGTCAGCTGAACTATGAGTGTTTTGAGGCACATGGCATTTGAAATTGCCAGTTGAAAGTAATAAGTAGTTCCGGGCTATATGTGGAGTACTAGAAACTCATTTGGAAATTGAGTGTTCAAGTGGTGATGATAAGCAATTCTCAATGGACTCCCCACTCAAACTTTGTGTTCATTTCCAACTATTCTTAGACGCAGAATGTATTTTTTTTTCGAGATTGACCAAGGAATGATATCAGTCAGAGAGAGATCTATTGAAAACCAGCAGAGAGTACTGGACAGTTAGCTGTGGGGTTCGAACCCAGGACCTTAATGGTTACAAGGTCAGCAAGCTCGTATATTGTTGAGCCACTGGTACTTGATTCAATGGCCAGTGCATGAATTCTAACTTCTACCAATTTGAGTTTGTGATAAGTTTTATATTGGTGGGATTAACCTGATTAACATCAGCAGTGATTGATTAGACGAGTTCATTATTAACTAGTAATTTCATTATGATTCTTAGAATACTTAAAACACTACTTATCATTATTGAAAAAGTAGTCTACGTACGTAAACTAGTATTTCCGATTGAACGAACGCCTTCAAATCCACATAGGGTTAAAGGATTACAATTAGATTTGAAAGGTAGTGAATTGTGATTGGTTAGTTAGAACTTAGTGACGCAATACCAGACTATGATTTGTACTTATTGTTTAAGAACTAATGATACTAACAAAGGCTGAAGTAGCGAGAGAGAGAAATGAGTGTCCGCAACCCACTGATTGAAAGACAAGTTTCCAAGCCAATTAACCAAATTACTAGCGGATTTCAGGATGAGCATCGAAACTCCCCCGTTCGTTGGCAGAATCAGATAACGAAATATTGGGGAAATCAGAAAACTACAGTCCATTACAAATCAATATATGTGTAAAATTAAATTCCAAGGGAAAATATACAAACAAACTGAGGGAGTTGCCATGGGATCACCAATATCCCCGGTTGTAGCAGATATATTCATGGATAGGTGAGAAAAAATAGCAATTAAAACGTTCACCCCCACCCCATAAGTATGGTGGAGGTATGTAGATGACGCATTCACTGTACTTAAAACACAGGGTATAGACAGATTTTTCGACCACATGAACTCAAAGGTAAAGGCAATTCAATTCACTTATGAATTGGAAACTCAGGAAGGGGAACTTCCAATGTTAGATTGTAGAGTAAAAGGGAAAGATGGGAAGTTAAAGACAAACAAGTGTGTTTACAGGAAACCCACACATTCGAACAAATATTTGGACTTCCGATCATCCCATCCTATGTCAGTGAAAACCGGATTGGGGAAATGTTTAAGTGATAGAGTACAAAAACAAAGTAGTACCAAAGAAAAATTTAAGACAGGAAGTGAGACATATAAGAGAAGCTTTGAAACTTAATAATTACCCTGATAAATTAGTCAGAAAGTATGTAGGGAAATGTAAAAATAAAATTAATAATGATAGTAGTGATAGTGATAATAATAATGATAATGACGACATGCATATCAAACACGCGCAAGATAACACCAACAATAAGGAATCTAAATCATCGCTGGTACTTCCATACGAGAAAGACACCTTGGAAACCTTACGCAGGAGAATTCTTAACAAGACAGCAATAAAAGTGGCTGGCATTCAATTACCCACAAACTCAATTAGAAACAAACCTTGTTGGTTAGAGGATCCTACCAGTGAAGCCTTTAAAATAAAACAATTTAGTTCATCTATTACTCTGCTGGAATGATTGTCAGGTGAAATACATAAGTCAAAGTAGTAGAAAAGGTGCAGTCAGACTGCCCGAGTATAAAAGCCTAGCAAAATGTAGATTACTTGACCCGAATAAGATTAGAAATCTAGGGAATAGTTCAGCTATAGCACTCAATAATTGCGATTACACACAACCATACAATAAGCTGGATGGGATAAGATGACAGTTTTAATGCAACTAACAGGGTTGAAGGAGAGATTGATAACAGAAGCTTTGTTTATCGAATCAACTGCAAATACGTGTAATAGGAATTATTCAACACCTGTCCACTCAGATATCTGGAAAATTCTACTACCCGAATGACGACAAATAGGAGAGGACAAAGAAAACTATAAAACTCATGTTTCGAAGTCGTGTGTGATTATAATTGATGAAATGATTATGAACAATAATGAATTGTGTTCGAAACTTTATCATCCAGTAAATAATAATACTGTTTCACTGACTGTGTGATGCATCTAATAAAGCAAACTAATATGGAATTACAAATTGTTATTCAATTGTAGACGTGTAGATCGATATATAAATATCTGGGCATTCTTATTTTATTTCGTAGGGTCCATTTGACATGGAGCTCGTGTTTATTGATTTTCTCCCTTATGATAAGATATACCTGATTACTCATTCTCTGTATTCATCATAACTAATATTTATTGTTATTATTATTTTTTTGTTAGCTTCAACGTGATCTCAACAAATTGCAAACTAACTATCAGAAATCAGTTGAAGAAGCCTTAGGTATTCTAGATACTGGATATCTACGTAAAATACAGGTTAGCTGTTATTAACACAATACAATGTTGTATGTTTTAACGATTTTCAAAATATATAGGCGAATTTCTTTCGTTGCGGTTTAAAATGCTGTGAAAACACTAGTGCACCGGTTGATGAAGTACAGCGGTGCATACAACGATGTGAAACTCCTTTGAGTCGAGCACATGAATTAATGCAATCAGAAGTTGACATGTTTCAGGTGAGAAATAAATGTTTTGCTCATCCCTAACCCTCGAACCTCCCCCCCCTGCTACAGATAGTTTTTTTTAATAAGTCTTATATATTTCATGCTGCATGCTAGTTTAATAGGAGTAGACTTTCTTTTGATTATGGTAATGTTTTATTAATTGAAGTAGGCGCGTGTGCAATGAATGTGTCGATGCGGTGTGTATATTTCTCATGTTATAAAAGTAAGTGACTGGCGATTATTGCCTACGGCTATAGTGAGCAAGTCGATAAAGGCGACAACGATCGGAACCTCTAATCCCTTTGAGTCACCGTAAGTTAGGACAGGGGTCAAGCATTGATTAAAGTGACTAAGACATGTATGTTACAATTTAGTTGGTTGGAAGCAATCGGTCACAGGAAGCCTTGCCTGACCTAGGTTTCGTGCTAGGTCAGCAAGGCGTATCCCTTCTGTGATTCGAACCCGCGTCACCCAGTGCCGTCTGCAGTCAAAGACGTTACCACTGAGCTAGCTATTCGGGCTCGCGATTGACCCCCTCTAGGACTGTCGTTGATAATTTAATTGGAATCAACAACGAAGGAAGATAAAACCAATAGCATCTACTAAATAAATTGTGACAACTGTGAAAAAACACTACATTGGCCAAAGTGGACGTCCTCTTTGTCTTCGTATCCATGAACGCAGGCAACCATGAAAATCAATTAGACTGGGAGAACCAAAGTTCAAATATTAGACAGAAAAAAAACACCAAGAATGCCAGAGAATTTTTAGAAGTTTGCCTGGTATTCCAGTGAATCATCAATCAATGGACATATCGAGATAGACAGAATATACCAACCGATAAGAAGGAAACCTCATATACAAAGGGTCAAAGTTCAAATCAAAGAAACAATCAGTCCCAATACAAGTAGCCTAGGGGGTGTGAAAACACACAAAAGCAACCAAATAGCCACGTTCAAGGTGGTCACCAGGAGAGATGACTAATGAACTCGTTGAGAAATCTAAAGGCTCACGTCGATTCGAATTGAAGTATGCGCTGAGGATGTTGCCCAGTAGAGCAGTATAAACTTCGCAAATAAACCATCTAGCTAGGTTAGAGACCACAACCATATCAAAAAATACTAGTAACTAGTGTAATGTGTCAAGTCCTTTGTTTGGTGTCACACTTTTCTCGGCGTCCGAATAAGTCATCAGGAAATTATGACAGGTGACATCATAGCATAGCATCACTCTGCACAGCCACGATATCAGTCTAGGCCACCTAAGTGGGTGTAGATTGCTTGGTCTAGCATCTTTGTGTTACCGTGAATCGATCGTTAGATTAAGTTGGCAATTTCTAGATTAAAAGCATTTCAGTAAACTTCATTGAGACACTCTGTCACACACATGTTTTCGTATTCTATTACCATTCTCCCATCTTAAAATTTAAATTCGTCAACTTCATTAAAACTCGTCAATTCAACATTGTGACGACCAGTAAGTATCAATTTTGAACAAATATATACCATCTATTAGAAGCGGTGAGTAGTGATCATCTGTTAACGTTATCACGAAGTGGATAATATTCATCAAAGTACTGCATATTAACAATAAAAGCTGGTGTCATTGTGGCGGAACTTATACAATTACAAACATCTATATATACATAAATTGAATATTCCCATAATTTATTCAGAACAAAATAGTTACAGTGAACAATTGTCGCTTTCAATAAATTCTTCTTATTCAGGCTCTACAATTATAAATCCATTAATTTAAGCAAACCATAGCCAGCCAGTCAGTCAACAAAGGCGAATTAGAATCATATCAGAAAGTGTATTGTGGAACAAGTATAAGTAAGATGGGATGGAACAATAGTCAGTTCGTTTTTTAACATGCATGGTCAATGAGAACATGGGACAAAATAAGGTGAAGTAATTTAATTTAATGATGTGTGTGCATACGTATAAATATTGTCAACAGAAAATTACAGGTTTCGAGAGTGAGTATAATCAGGCTGTGTGTGAGACAATATGAAAATAAACCAACGAATGTGGCGGACTAGACATAAGTTCAAGGTAAAAAATAACGACAATCAGAATGATTGTAAAATAATAATAACGATGATATGGTGTAAAATTACAAGTACTATTGGTGAATGATTGTCGAATAATAATAATGAATATAATGAAGTGGAATGAACAGGATTTTGTAAATACAATAACAATTTAGGAAAGCATTACTCAAACCTAAGGTAATAAAATCATAAGAAAGTTCATGAAATCATTAAAGTCGAAAGTGAATGCTTGTCAATGAACCAGAGAAAAGAAAATTGTGATAGGGATTTATAGTGTTAATGAAGGATTTGTTGGTCTTATTGTAGGCCAAAGTAAACATAGAGGTTGAACATGCTTCTTCTGTATGCAGAGGGATGGTCTTCTGGTATTAATTACAACCGCTTCAGCTACTGATAGAAGACGTAGTCGAGCTCCTCTAGATAAATTACTAGGAACGCGGTAAATAACTGAGAACGCCTGGTCAATATCTATCGAGTGTCCAGTATCTACACCAAGTGGGCTAAGAATGCACTTTCTGATATGATTCTAATTTGCCTTTACTTACTGGCTGGCTATTGTATGCTTAAATTAAAGGATTTACAGTTGTAGAGCCTGAAGAAGAATTTATTGAAAATAATTATTCGCTTTATTTTGTCCTGAATCTCTCTCTCTCTCTCTCTCTCTCTCTCTATATATATATATATATATATATATATATATATATATATCATGTAAACAGCGTTGAAAATTCTCTTGTCGACGATTCATTTTCCTAAGCCCATGTACAATTGTAATTAAATTTAATAAAGAATTCATAAGACCAGTGAGATAATGGTAAAATTTGTTCTCGAAAAATGCATTACCTAATGTAAGGTGTAGTCTGTCTAGAAGGAGTGACTAATTGCAAGTTAGAAAAACAGGGTAGAAGTTAGCACATGACGTAACAAATGTGAGAGGATGACTTATCAGTATACTTGTGTAGAGTGGAAAAGAACTAGTGGAAAGACGATGATAAAGTGTTTTTATACAAAATCTCTGTGGAAATGCAAAGTTATTAATCAACACCAGTGGAGTGATAATAAAATAATAGAGGGGGCTGAGAATAATAATAATAAACTTACACAGTAAAAAGAAAGCAAAAGTATAGTGAGAACGTTACACTGGTCATGATAGGGCGAGGGAATGTATGTGGTGCATTCGGATGCAGAGGTGCGATTTCACCTCCCGAATAGCCAATGATTTAGCTATGTACAGATGGCGTATTTCAAATCATTTCGTACGATATTGAGGGACTCTTTGAAACATTCATCCCGGTGGGGGTGCTCGAAGTCCGGAATTGACAAGGTGCTCGACGATAGAGCTGGTAGTATTCTTCATTTCTCCCCTGGCTGGCTAGCCAGTCTGGACAGTGTTCCAGAATACGTCTGTGGACTTGACGTTGCGTATGGCCGATATACTTTCCTCCACACGAACAAATGAACTGATAAATGCACATTGAGGTGGCCAAAAACGGTATCTTGTCCTTAACGTTAGACTAGAGAAACTACCTGTTGTATGTGTGTGTGTGTAAGATAGCTGTTTGAAATGTCTTCCTCAGACATTCAGAAGGGTGGTTTCTAAGAGTGTCGCTTCGATGTCACCTTTGAATTCCACTTCCATGAATAGAGTTTTCTTAGGAACAGTTGTGATTTCTCGCGATGGAGGCTTTTTTCCTTCATGTTTTTGTCGATAAATCTTGGTGGATATCCGTTGTCTAGTAGGGTTCCACTTGCTGAATTCAACTCCTTCTCTATCGTTTCTTCCGAACAGACTTTTTGAGTCCTTGAACTTAATGTACGTCCTGGATTCTGCTTTCAGACCAGTGGAACAAAGCTCTGGAATTAGATGAACTATCCCCTCAATGTTAGCTTGCGATGTATTGATCTTTTGGATCGTTCAGTCTTGTTTCCTGGCAAGTAGTACACATCCGAGAATGGGAATGCCATGTTCGCTTCACGTTCTAAAGTGAATTTGATTGATGAATGAGCTGTGTTGAAGGGTTTGAGGACATACTTTAAATCAACTTTTTCATCACAAATTATGATCGTATCATCTACGTATCTCCTGTATAAGTGCAGTTGACTTATCAAAGGGTCGAGGATGTTGTTTTCGAGACTCACCAGGAATCAGTCAGTCAGCTAGCAATGGACCGAGAGGACATCCCATCGCTACACCATCTTTTCGTACGTAGAATTGTCCATTCAATTTGAATTGAATATTAAACGTACATCTGAGAAGTAGTTGATTCAGGTGGTTGATGGGAAGAGGAACTTCTGGGTTGTTGTTGGGTTTCGACGTAGTTACAGATGAAGCACAGTGTCTCGGTCAGTGGGAGGCTTGTGAATAGAGACGTGACATCTAGTTAAGGCATTTGTCTTTCAAACGCGTTGATGAAATCAAATGTATCACTACGGCCATATACTTTGCCATATGTCTTCTTACCGGTTCAAGGATATCTGCTATCGACTTCGCCATCCGATGTAATGGTGAGTTGACCATGTCTATGATAGGTCAAAGTAGAATATTCTTCTTATGCACTTTAGCCAATCCATATAGCCTCGGAATAGTTGAACTCCACGATGTTATGACTGAATGTTTTTTCATTTTCTTCAGTAATTTTGTAAGGAGGTTTTCTGTTCTTTCCGTTGTGTCGTCTTTCTGGTTAGGTGGTTTGACGAATTCGGTGTTGTCTGATAGTATGAACCGTGCGACATTCCTGATGACGTGTCGTGTCAAGATGATCGGACTCGGTTGACCTTGGTGCAGAATTTCCTTTCACCTGGGTGATTAGTCCTTCAACCGTGTCAGAAGCGGCTCACCTATACATAAACCTACGTAAATTACTTTGTGTAGGAGAAAATCATGGTGAACTGTGTCAAATGACTTCTCAAAGTCAAAGAAGACTACATGGACTGGAACATTCATATTCCAGAATGA